CATTACTCGGACAGGCAGATTTGAGGCAGCTTCTCCTGTTCCCCTGACGTCTGTCATATTAAAATTCCTTTTTTCCGTGGCAATCCTCATTACCTTAATAATTGGATCGTTGTGCAATGAGCAACTGTACTTAGACCAAAGCCCGCTTGCTGTTCTGTTAACACCAGCATCTTAATTTTGGCGTCGAGAGACTCTAAGCAGAGAACCCACTAAGCCACACTGTGCCTGGACTTCTGATGTAAAGAAACTGTGAGATAATAAACTTTTGTGCTGTTTTAACTGCTGAATTTGTAGCAATTTTTTATGACAGCTTAGAAAATGAATACACCTAGGACGTACAGTTGTGTGTCAGCTTAGACTTGCCTTGCCCTGGCAGCATCCCACTTCAGACACATTCAGTGTGTCTGTTTGTCTTTATACCTGCCTCGAAACCTTCTCTGGTATCATGGGGTCCTGCTTTGCAGAAGGAGACCAGAAGTACCAGGAAGTTAACACCCTGGGGAAAATGCTCAGCCAGTGAGGGAGGGGAGCCAGTAGACAGCTGCCTCAGCCTCACACCTCCCAATTCTGGGAGGCATTCGTGTACTTCTCGAAAGGTCTGGTGGCATTAAGGCCCCATTTTCCATAGCAGCACTGCCCATAATGCACCATTAGTTTGGCTTTCCTTTCTTTCTTGTCTCCTCTTTAATTCTTCGCTTTGACTTCCTGAGATGACCTCCCAAATGACTTCCCTGCTCCCGAGTCCCTTTGTCAGTCTGTGCTTGAGATTGGCAGGCAACCAGCAGTCTGCTCCATCAGCTCCTCTCGCTTAGACTAGAAGGGTAACTTACCAGGATAGTCCAGTGTCTCACGCTGCAACTAGCCTCAAGGAAACTGAAATCAGGACTCAATACCACCAAGTTTCCCTCTGTCCCTTATCCTTTCTCTCCAATGGCATTACCTGTAGAGAAGATTAAATCTATCCTCCCCCTCCCCCGACACGAGAGAGAAAAATCCCAGAAAAGGATTGTAATTGATGGCCCTTGGTTTAGTGCCCACAAGTGGTACAACAGGAGATGGGGCACTATCACTGGTTCATCTTGGGTCAGAGTTCTAGCCCTGGATCAAACCATCATGACCGGGTGGCAGTGTCAAGGACTCCAGGCATGGCCTATGGGGGCCACCATTGTGTTTCAGGGTACTCCCAGAAATAGCGGAATGATCGGGAGGTGGGGAAATCTTCCCATTAGTTATCCAGAACTATCACCACCCACTCCCCATCCTTTTACTTCTTTAATGAGCATACTCAGTTTCCTTCATAGGCCTCTTTCCTTCCTCCAGCCAACCTGAACATACTGGTGTTCCCAAGAGTTTCAACCTTAATCTTTTTCTTCCCACTCTTCCTTACTCCCAGAGTCATCTCATTCCTTGGTAGACATTATGGTATTCTTTCCAACATTTGATCAGCTCCAAAAATGTAATCTAATCCATGGTAATTCTATCCCCACAGCAGCAGTTTGTTTGGGATGAATAAACCTAAACCCCATTAGACCAGTGAGATTCAGGAGTTTGCTTAGGCCAGCTCATGCCTGTAATCCCATCACTTTGGGAGGCTGAGGCAGGAGGATCTTTTGAGCCTAGAAGTTGGAGGCTGCAGTGAGCTATGATCATGCCACTGCACTCCAGCCTGAGTGAGATCCTGTCTCCAACAAAAAAAAAAAAGAAAAAAAAGGTTGCTTAGGACTTCTAGCAAAGAGGAATCAATCTCAATGTTGCCTGTTGGGTTGTGATATGCGGGGAGCTGGCTTTAGTTTGAAGTGAGTGGTAGGGACAGCAGAGCAGTGAGATGGAAATATCTCAGGTTCCTAACGACACTGTTGGACCAGGGAATCTGCCCATTCTGCCCCACCATTGAACTTCCTGTTTTGTGAGTTGATACATCGCCATATTACTTAAGCCAAGTGGAATCAGGTATCTGCAACTTGAACTGGAAGCATTTTATTAATACTTCATTCACACTTACCACCATAAATTCTCTCAAACTCAACCTTCCCGGACTCCAGACTTACTGATATTCCCCAAACTTGCTGCTCCTCTTCCTGGGTTCCTTACAATTCATTTACTTAAGAAATAAGAATTGAGCACCTACTATTACACCAAGTTCTGCCTTAGATATTGCAGATAGAGCAGCCAATGAAAAAAAGTTTCTGTCATCATGGACCAGTAAATGTGGCAGACTATTAACGAAACTATTTTCTGAATAAATGAAGTAATAAGTAATGCAGTGTAGGAACTTGATCAATATTGAGTGAAAAACTTAGACTACCACCCCAGAATCTGGTGGTATTCACTCCACAAACGGCCGTAGGAGCCGAGTGTCAGATCCTCTTCTGGCAGCCCTTGGTGTCTGAAAAGTAAGACAGACTGGAGCTCCCAGAAGGCGTGCACGTACTGGGGGCTTCTTCCGCAGGCCCTGTGCAAAGCGCTTTACGGGAACCATCACATTTATCCTCAGCGACTCTAGGAGGTTCTCCAAGGAGAGGCCACTGGGCACGACAACAGGCCTGAGACCAGGCAGTCTGCACAGTGCAAAGAGCTCGGGAGAGCCAGTCCTGCTCCTGGGGTTCAGGCCTGTCCGCGTGACCTTGTGCAAGTCACGGTCTCCCTGCACCTGCAAGGCCCTCGCCAGGGTCCGTCGGGTCTGACTCCCGACGCCCCTTTCCCCAGGCTTTAGAGGCCGCTCGGATGTGAGGGGGGTCCGAGGGATGAGGGACGTGGGCAAATAAGGTGGTCACTGAGAAGTGGTGTCAGCGAAGCCAGTGAGGAGGATTCGTGCAGACGGAGACCTTGGGCAGAGAGCAGCACGGACACTCGCTTTCTTCCCGCCCTGCCCTCTGCTCCCGCGGCCCCGGCGCCGCTGGCCCGACCTTCTCCAGGGCTCCGGAGGGTCCGCATTCTCCCTCCCGCACCGGGCGCCTCCGCCCCGCTCCCCAAGCTGAAAGGGACCATCCTCGGCGGACGACGCGCAGTGACCTAGGTCCCGCTCCCTCGGCCCCGGAACTCGCAGTTGGCGGGCCTTCCTCTCCGTCGGTCCCCCCTCGGCCCGCGACCACTTGGTCGGCGCCGCTGCGTCCTGTGTGTGCCGGGCCCGCCCGCACTGCGGGGGCGGGGCCGGGCGCCGCCCACGCCGCGCTCGGGGCTCTGCGCGCCGTCTCGCTGGGACGCGTGCGGGCTGCGCGGCGCGCGGGAGTCGGGCGGGCGGCCATGGCGCGGCGCGCAGGGAGGTAGCCGGGCCGGCGAGGGGAGCGCAGGGGCCGCCATGGCCCGGCGGCGGCGCCGCGCCTGCATCGCGCTGTTCCTGGTGCTGCTCTTCGCCTTCGGCACCCTCATGGGCCTGCGCACGCTTAAGGCCCCGGACGGACTCCCGGCGCTGGGCCCGGGCCTGGAGCTGGCGCCCTTTGAGCGACGCCCGGAGGGGGCCCCCGCGCCCGCCGCCCGGGCCCCGGCC